CAAAATGACAGCAACTTGTCTGTTCCCCTTCCCCCAATTCCCCAGCGCTGTTCCCATTCCCCCAATTCCCCAATAAAAATCTTTAAAAAAAAAAAGAACTGGATTTGGAGAGACTATTGAGAAGGGGAAATGGGTGAGAGACTTCTTTACTTAAGATCTTCTTTTAATCTTAAGATAACTTAAGATTTTTGCCATCCTGAATCCTCTGTTCCAATCCTCAGTGGTGGGATTGTCAGTGGGGAAAGTGATATGACAGCCTAGATTGCAGTCTTCTAGAGAAGGACCATTTTCATTCCACCCCCTCAGGAGGGACCTCCTCAGTGATCCTCAGAGAAAAAGGGTTCAAAGGGTGGGGAGCCTACCTAGCTGCTCATGGTGGCCCATCACTTCTTGCTCCAGCTGTCTGCTGCGGGTCTTCATCTCCTCTTGCAGGGCCTGGCACTGACAATTCATCTCTGTGGTGGGGGCAGTGGATGGCCTGGGACCCACGTGGGGATGGAGCAGCAGAAAAAAGAAGGGAAGTTGTGGGTGTGTAGGGCTCTTCCTGGTCCAGTGGGATAGAAGGACAAAGGCCTTCTTGATTCTTGTGGTGATTCTGAGAAGCTGGGAGACCCTGAAAACCTGGGGAAGAGCTAGGAAACCGGACCCCCTTCCCTCATGCCAGCTCAGGGTGGGGATTGTAGCCCTTCTCCCTATTCACTCCCATGGGATGAATGAGATCAAAGCTATGGCTCCATTTTGTAACACAGAAAGCATCAACAACATGGCATCAGGCATCCTAGAAGGCCCCTGCCCAGAATCCTAGAGGCCTTTCTTTCCTTCCTTCAGGTTCCTGCCTGATTTGCACTGTGCCGGGAAGGCTGAGACTAGACATGGCAGATAAAAGTCCTTGTTTTCTTTCCTTGCATCCTCTGGCCCTCTTGGTATCCTCTTCCAGGTCCCTGTCTTCTACCTACCTACCTGATGGACCACATATCTGCATATATCCCTTCATTTTGGGACCCCTCCAGTTCAGCCTCCAACCCTTGCAACTTCTGCTTCATCTTGTCTTCAGAAGCCTTGGCTCGGTGGGCCTCACCTCTCTGCAGAGCTGTAAACAGTGCCAGAGCAGCTCTCAGGACTGGCTGAGGACCCCGCTTAATCAGCCCCCATGAACTTGATAGACTCTGCCCACCTCTGGAAACCTGGTGGCAGGCTTCCAGCCTCTCATTCTCATTCTGGCCCACCCCCTTTTCCCCAGGCCCCAGAATCTCACGGGCTGTTCATTACTAAGAAGCAAAAACTTCCTCTGTATCCTGGCTCATCAGCTCTCACTGCCCACACCTTCCTAACAATCTCAACTCATGACAATCTTTTTCCACTAGGTCCACAGTGGTTCTCAACCTTCCTAATGCCGCGACCCCTTAATACAGTTCCTCATGTTGTGGTGACCCCCAACCATAAAATTATTTTCGTTGCTACTCTATAACTGTAATTTTGCTACTGTTATGAATCGTAATGTAAGTATCTTTTTGTTTTCCGATGGTCTTAGGCGACCCCTGTGAAAGGGTCGTTCGACTCCCAAAGGGGTTGCGACCCACAGGTTGAGAATCGCTGCACTAGGAGATGGTTAGAGATCAGCTCAGCCCCCCACCATAGCTCCAACCCTCCAAGCCCCCAAGGATTCAGAAATGACCGATTGGCCCACCTTCATTGCCCCCAGAGCTTCCATCTTTCTTACCCAAGTGGTCTCGGAGCAACTCATTTTCCAACACTGTCAGCCTGTGCATGGATTCAGTCTCCACATCTGCCCTGGCCAAGCTGGCAGAGCCTCAGCTTATCATGATCTCAGCCTTCCTTATTCCCCTCCCATTCTCATCCCACACTCTAGACTTTCTTCCTGCAGGAGACCTGAGGACCACTAAATGAGGGATCTCTATGACAGAGTCACTGAATTCACCACGCTGTCCTCACTGTCCAAGTCCAACATATAGTAGGTACTCAAAATATGTGTAATGAGGGGCCGGCCGAGTGGCTCATTGGTTGAGTTGGCTTGGGAGGGCCAGCTCTGAGCAGCAGGGCCCCCATTCGGATCCAAACACGGGCCAGTGACTGCGCCCTCTACAGCTAAGATGGTGAATAATAGCTTGACCTGGAGCTGGGCTACTGTGAGATGCCGTGAGTGGCCGCCCAATGGGCAGTGACCGACTGCCTCAGCCGGGAAGAGTGTAATGATCACAATATCAACACGGGCCAGTGAAATGACATTCTCCACAACTAGACTGAAGAACAAAAGGACAACAACTTGTCTGTTCCCCTTCCCCGATTCCCCAACGCTGTTCCCTCCCCTAAATCCCCAATAAAATCTTTAAAAAAAAAAGTATATATATGTGTGTGTGTGTATGTGTGTGTGTGTGTGTGTGTAATGAACATATGAGGAAGGCATGGAGCCAAAAGAAGTTCAAGGGAGGAGTGGGTGTCAATTTTCCCACTTTCCCAGTTCCATGAAATCTTGTTTCGAGGAGATGAAAGGAGAGAGTCAAGAAAGCGCCTCTCCCTTTGTGTCATGCAGAGGTCTGAATTCTCTCTGGAGTACCTCTGCTTGGTCTCTGAGCCAGAGCATGGAGAAGCAGGGGGTACCTACCTCCACCCACACTGACTCACCAGCACCTGCATTCTTTTTCTTCTTCTGTGCCTCAGCTTTCATCCTTTTTTTCTTCGGATTTAAGTGGCATCTCCTTATGGTCCTGGGGGAGGGAGGGGATTTGTATTTAGGTCTGGACATGAGGATGCTTTCCTGATCCCTAGATTGTGCCAGGAATCCCAGGAGAGTTAGAGTTCTAGTCTCCAAGTCTGTCTCTTATACTTTCCAGAAGCTTCCCATTCTTGGTCGTCTTGGAAACTTAGGCAAGCCTGGGGTCAGTAGAGAGGATAGAGCTGTTTATGTCTATTATTGAATGTCTGTGTACAGAAATCACTTCTCTCAACCCTCTTTTGGAGAAAATGAATCTCAGTGCCTGGTCCCTTCCTTTTTTCCATCATCCTTACCCTGACTCCTCCTACCTATAGGACTCCCTCTTGCCTCTGTTATGTCTGTCTCCCAGTGGAGTGACCCACTCATGGGGAGGGGCAGAGAAAAAGCCCAACTAGCTAGGAGCCTGAGAAGGAAACTGGGTTCTGGGAGCCAATCCAGGGTGGCAAATTTTCTTTGGGGGCAGGACTGAGAACTGGAAGGTAGGGTTTCCAGAGACAGCATGTTGTCCAGGCAACTGGGAAAAACAGAGTTCATAGGAAGGTGGAATGGGCTAAATACAAAGCTTAAAACACCAAGGTCCCAGAGGGTCAATTCTTTCCTTATCCCCAAATCCAAGTGTAGTTTGAGGAGAAAGGGCTTTGGAGCCCATTAGCTATGATTCACTTCCATGTAGCACTGCCTGCAATTTGGAGATTTACAAATGACAGATTTACACATGACAGATTTACACATCTGAAACAATGCTGTTACGTTGATACAGAGAAATAGAACTGACTGTAGCCATTTGGGGCAATTTACATCCCTAGATCTCATCATCAAAATGACACTATTAGGCTTAAAACTGAAGACACCCTTTAGGAAGGCATTCAATGGGTTGTGAGGGAAAGAAATGCCGGAGAAGGTAGTTGAGAGTTTCCCACTTCAGAGAAATGAGACACAGAGGAGAGGTAGACCCACGGACTCTAGGGTGCTAATTTAGAGGGATGCAAAAGTAGAAGATAAGGGCACTGGTTAGAGACAAGAACTGTGAGTTCTAGTCCCCACTCTGGATATGTAAACTTGGGCAAACCATTTAACTTTGCTCAGCCTCAGTTTCCTTGTATTTAAAATTTTGATTTTATAAATCCTGAAAGGCCGGGGTTTTAATTGGGTATTTACAGGGCTATTTTCTCTCATGGTGATTTAATTTGTTGCCTCTGTTCCCCTATTCCCTTATGTGGTTGATTTTTAGGCAGTTGCTGAGAAACTCCTTTGGCTCTGGGTAGTATTGAGTTAGTTGAGACTCCCTCTAGTGGACTTGTTTGACCTCTGGAGTCTCTTAAATTTTTCTATTTAAATTATTTATGGAGCAAGGTTGGAAGTGCCTCTTTCTTGGAGATACTTCCTAGCATCTTGCCGGAGTCATGGGTGGTTGGAAAAACAAATTTGGGGAAGGTAGTATGATGAATGACTTGTCCTTGTTGGGCAGCCTCCACCATCCCTCTGGCCCTGTGCTATGGGGAGCCTTGTCATCTGTCTGCCTCTTGGATCTCTGGACACCTTACTCACTAGAATGAAAACAGCAGAAACTTCAGGACTCTTCCTCTTTTGGACTAAGGGAATTGCAGAGTCTTTCTTTAGTTATTTCTATCTCTGTCCCCCTCAACATTTTTCATCAATTGCCTTATTGCCTATTGTCAGAGCAGATCTGAAGAAATAGATATGAGATCTGGGAGTAAAAAAATCCTTCCGGGTTGGCCGAGTGGCTCAGTTGGTGAAGAGTTTACTTAAGAGCGCGAGTTCTGAACAACAGGGCTCCTGGTTTGATTCCCACATGGGCCAGTGATGCTGTGCTGTCACTGAGCTGTCGCTGAGCTGCCAACAGGTGGCAGGATGGCTCAGCTGGTGTAACAACAAGATTGCCTGTTCAATGGTGGGCTATGCCCACCCGCAACTAAGACTGAACATGGCACCTTGAGCTGAGCTGCTGCCCGGATGGCTCAGTGGATAGAGTGTGCGCTCTTAACAACAAGGCTGTTGGTTCGACTCCCACATGTGATCCCACAACTAAGATTGTAACACAGCACCTTGATCTTAGAGGCCATGAGCTGCCAATGGGCAGCCAGATGGCGACTGGTGCCCTCCACAACTAAGATTGAAGGACAACAACTTTGCTGGTCCCCCGCCCCAATTCCCCAACACTATTCCCCTCACCCAATTCCCCAGTAAAATTAAAAAAAAAAAAAAAAAAGAGAAGAACCAGGCTGGCCCTTCCAGGTGCTTACAGTGCCTGTACCTCAGATAACCATCACATTTTCCAAATATGGAGAATACTTTTCTTCTAATCTTGAAGTATGTTTTTTATTTATTCTTCCCCCAAAACCCTCTCTCTCTGTTTAGGAATGCAGTAGAGGTTCCTGTCCTAGTCCTTTTCCTCAGCTAGAAGTCTGTTTGGGGATGTTTTCCATGAAATGATTAGTGTCTCTATTATGCTAATGCATAGAATGACATATTGAGGACAGAGATGACTGAATACAAACAACATATCGTGCCTCAGAAGAGCATTTATTTTTCAAATATGTACAGTCAACCGACTTTCAGGTGCAGAATGAGGATGTGGTTTGGGGTGAAGGTGAAACAGAATAAGAAAAGTGCCACACGTCACATGATGTGATACAAACTGAGTTAGCTCTAGAATAACTCAGGAATGAGAATGACATTGTGATCAACAAGCCAATCCTATCTCTAGTACATTTTGAAAAACAAGCCCAGTAAAAATTGTGAAAAAAGGTCAATCTTTCCTTTTTTTTTTTTTATTAACTCAGTTTAGAAGTGAAAATAAGAAAGATCATTTCAGCAGAACTCTGTCTTCCTTTGAATAGGATCACATCTGTGAGTTTTGAAGAGATATAGAGAAGGGTCACTCTCTATGCTTTATTCAGATTTGAGAGCTAGGTCATTGTGGAATATGGTTTACTGCAGCAGAAACAAAGCACAAATTATACAATTCCACTCTACACAGACTGTACTGAAGATAATACAAATTGGAAGCCTTAAACCATGATGTGTAGATGACGTAGACAAGTTCAGTTCCAAGGGTTAATTTCTTACCTATATTCGACTAAATCTAGGATTTGATTATGAGGGGAAAAAATACCTTTGTGTACCTATACTGTTTTAGGTACTGCGGAAGAGCAAAGTTGATAAGATGGTGTAGCATAAATTAATATGTGGTATGTGTAAGAAATAAATGGTTATGGAAATTTAGAGGTGGGAAGGCTTATTTCTAGCTAGAGAGTCTGGTAAGGAGGATAATATTTGGATTGAGTTTGGAAGACAGGATTGGATTTTAGTAGTACACTTTAGGGCACAGAAAATTACCTGAGTAATAGTTATGAAAAAAGAAAGTATTGTGGTATTTTGAGACTTGATGAAACACCCAGCATAGGATATATGTATTGGAATAGTATAAGACTGCAAGGTAGTTTGGAATTAGATCATGACTCTTAACTTCATTCAGGAGGAATGGGAAGTGTTTAAAGTTTTTATGTGATGCTGTCAGAACCATATTTTAGGAAGACTGACAAGTCTGGTGCCAGGATAGATTGGAGGCAGCAGGACAACCAATGCGGAAAAGGTTTCAATAGACAAGGGGAGAGAAAAGAAGGGCCTGCAACTATGGCAGTGGCACTAGGGATGTTAAGTTTTGCCCATTATCTAAGAGCTTTGCCTATATTTTCCCTTTGGATACTGTCATAACTCTAGGTAGGAACTGATTAAAGGAGGAAATTCTACTGATAAGAAATGATAATGTTGACTCCATAATCAATTGTAAAGGCCACTGAATTGCAAAACCAGGATGTCTGGCTGAAGGGTCCTTGAGTTCAGACATATTTTTCCCCCTCTTACAGGAGTACTTGATAAGCTTAATTCCCTAATCAGTCAAGGGCTTTGTGGGGGGATCTAAGGCCCAACTGAGTGCTTATTGACACACCAGGGCCTGCAGGCTCCCAAAGCTGAGGCTCAGAATTAGCAAATTAGGGCAGGGCACTTCCTTCTTTGGTAGGGAAGTTCCTTTTTCTTCCAACGGAACTCTTTGAGAAGTGGAAGTGACTGGGAACCGCATTTGGTTCGATGCAAGCAGTGGAGTACTCCTCTGGCCAGGGCTCACAGCTATTTCTGTGGTCAGGGCCTGATGCGGTGCAGTGCGCTGAGCAGGAGAATCTTAAGTACATATTCAATTCCCAGAAAAGGAACTGGTGTTCAGAAGCCAAAAACAGGGAAGTGTTTTGTTTTTAGAGGTCAAAGGGTCTGGAAGAAGCGCTTGCATCCCGAGTGTTTCAAGCCTTTCTGGAGGGTCTAATCAGGTTTGAACAACCTGCAGCATTCACATTTCCTGTCCTTGGTCCAGACTTAATGGGGAGTTTAAAACACGGGGGCTGTGTGTATGTGTGTACACTGTTCCCCAATAAAGTCCTTAAAACACACCCACACCCACACCCCCACACCCACACCCCACACACATACCCCCCCCAGGGGGCAGGGAAATAACTTCCTTTTTACTCCCACAATGTGAGAAAGCAAATAACTTTAAGCTCAATTTCCTCCTTTGTCAGGAGTAAGGAAAAGACTTGACGTTAAGGTTCTTTCCACGGCTACCTGTCTTAAATATCCCAACGACCCACTCAATGAGCGCCAACCTAAAACCCACAAGGAACATGGAAGGCTCGGCTTCTGCCTAGTGCGCAGACTCCACGTTAGATCCGCCCCTTCATCGTCCCGTTTCTCCAACAGAGGGCGCAGGCGCGAAGGTTCCGCTTGGCTCCGCCCCGGCCCGCCCCCGAAGGCAGGGGCGGGAGAAGCGGCGCGGAAACTTGGCCTCGGCTTTCGGGGAGATTGTGGCTTTGGTGGGGGTCGCTCAGGAGGGGACACTACCCTGTGGGGACTAGGCAGCCCGCTTCCCCGAGGTTGGCAAGCTCCTCCCGTCCCCGGGCTCGTGCTCTCTGAAGGGGCGCGCCCGCGCGGACTCGCGCTCCCGGCGCCGCCCACTCCCCTCCTCGCGGCCGCCCCTCCCTACGCCCCGACAGCCGGCGGCGGTGGCGGTGGCTGGGTGAGGCCCCTCCTTCACGCCCTCCTTTCCCTCGCTTGCAACGGAGCGGAGCCGGCGGAGCGGCTGGACCCCCAACGCTCCCCCGGGCCATGGCCGGTAACGTGAAAAAGAGCTCAGGGGCCGGGGGCGGCGGTGGGTCCGGGGGCTCGGGCGGCCTGATCGGGCTCATGAAGGACGCTTTCCAGCCGCACCACCACCACCACCACCACCTCAGCCCCCACCCGCCGGGGACCGTGGACAAGAAGATGGTGGAGAAGTGCTGGAAGCTCATGGACAAGGTGATAGGCCTGCGAAGCATCCGCGGGAGCTGGGGTGGGCGTGGGCGGAGGGGCAGAGGGAGGGGAAGGAAGGGACAGAGGAAGCTGGGGGAGGGGACGTGTCATGCGAGGTTGGGGAAGAGAGGAGCTGAGGTGACGGGGCTCAGGGATGGGGGTTATGGGGGTGGGGAAGAGACCGGGAAGATGGGAATCGGCGGTGGGGGAAGGGCTGAGGCGGTTACGAGTGGGGGAACTTTGAGGTGCTTTTTGGGGTAGCTAGACAAAGATGAGGTGGGGGCTGGGGTGAAGGTTAACTGGGAAGTCACCCGGGCGGAAGTGTTAAGGGGTTTGCGAAGTTTGGGGCTCTGTGCAGGGTATAGGGATGTGGGTCACGGAATTGGCCCCAGGAGATAGGAGGCGGGGGTTGAGGAAGAGTGGTTTGATTTACCGGCTAGGGCTGTTAGTTGTATGAGAAGTTGAGCTCTGACTAGTGAATTAAATTACGTTTTTGGGCTCTGATAGAGACACCTGGGGTCAGGACCACTCCCCAGGCAAACTGCTCTGGGTGATCTTCATTTTTTTTTTTCATTAACATGTAACACCAAGATAAAAGAAATAAGGATGTGTAAATGGATCAAGGAAGGAACTTTCCTCCACATTTAACACTAGCTCAAGTTTATATTCTCCAAAACAGTGATCCATTGCTGGTGCGCAGATATGCACTGATTAAACCACAAGTTCTGGTTAGAACCATTATCTTCGGAAAGATGTATTGACCGAGCATGCTAAGCAGCAGATTCTGACTTCTTCCAGAACTTCCTCATTAGAGTAACACACTGCTTTTAGCTGGGCTCTAGTTTTCGTAGCAGATCTGCCTCCTTGTTACAGGACCTGACTTTAAGCTTGGATGAGCTTCTTTGATTACCTTAAAAAAAATTTTTTTAGCAAGTATGAAAAATAACGTCTGTATATTTAGCCACTTTAAGTTTGGCACTTGGGTGAATTTTACTTCTTTGGAGGTACTTATGCCTGTATCATGAAATATAGTAGTTAGTTCCAAGTACTTAAAAGTGTTTAAGCAGCCTAATGATTTGTTCCAGAGATTCAATACAGTATTTCCTTGATATTTTTCACATTATTAATAACTTATTCTTGCAAAATTCATACTGTGGATGAAAAGTGATTAGAAAGATCTGGCATATTTTGTAAGAGAATGGTGTGATTTCCTCCAGAGCAAAATTAGTTTTGGGGGGTTACTCTCTGGTCCGAGATTCCTGTTCTGTAAATTTCTTTTTTTAAGATTTTATTGGGGAATTGGGGGAGGGGAACAGTGTTGGGGAATCAGGGAAGGGCAACAGACAAGTTGCTGTCTTTTTGTTCTTAAGTCTAGTTGTGGAGGACATAGCTTCACTGGCTCATGTTGGTATTGTGATCATTGCGCTCTTCCTGGGCGAGGCAGTTGGTCGCTGGCCATTGGATGCCGTTCACGGCAGCTCACACCGGCTGCCAGCCACTCACTGTAGCTTAGGGCAGCCCACTGCAACAGGGGCTGCAGTCTATGCCGTCAGCCGCGACTCACAGCAGCCCAGCTCCAGGTTGAGCTGTTCACTATCTTAGTTGTAGAGGGCGCAGCATCACTGGTCCTGATGTGGGATCCGAACTGGGCTGCTGCTCAGAGCTGGCATCCAAAGCCAACTCTTAACCAACGTGCCACTCGGCCGGCCCTGTAAAGTTCTTCATGGATTGTTTTGGATTAGAAACTGCTAATAAAAATGATTATGAAGCACTTGGCAAATATAAGTGTGCTATATAAATGCTTAATAAGTCCTGTGTGTGAATTAACACTTCTGTAGTGCATACCAGTGGTTTCAAAGCCATTTTTTTCAGGGCTGGCTTTTCTCATATTAAATTATTAGTATTGTAATTAATGATAGAATTATTTATATGTTGATTATATTGGTGTTGTAGTGCTCATTTCATTATTAGAAATTGTAGTAAAACTGTTACAGAAAGCCATGTAAAGGAGACTTTAAGCGCTTTGACATCTTTTTAAAAAATATCGAATGTGTTCAAAATCTGAAGTTTGTGGGTTTGCATTTTAGGGATTTACAGTTAGGGGACTAGAAAGGTTCTTCTGGAATAGAAAAAAAATTTTCTCATTTTTAGTTAGTTTCTCATATAAAACATGTTTATGTAATGTATCAAAATTGTATTGATTAGAGACCTCTCCTTAAAAATAATAAACTTTTTGTCAGACTTTCGAGCCTCTGTTAGGTAGTCTAAGATCTCTCCTTAAGTCTCATTCCTTCATCTCTTTAAAGTATGTGTATTGAATTTTTATTTCTTCTGCAGAATGTTTAATTATTTGGGAAGAATAAAGAGGACTCAGTTTTGAATGAAAATGCTTTTGAGATGTTGATAGTTTCAAGGAAAGTAGGCTAACTTTTCCATTCTAGTATGGGGAGAGGGATGTTTTCTTGCGTTGTTTGTATTGGAAGATAATTTTTAGTGCTCCATATCACATTACTAGTTGGGCTGAAATGAAAACTTAGTTCTTTCTGATGTATGCGTCTGATAGGTTCATTACTGTTTTCCAGATTTTCTGAATACTTCTGTAGTGTTGTTACATTGCACAGTCTCTTTTATTTTTTTATTTTATTTTTAAAATTTTTATTAGGGAACAGTGTGTTTTTCCAGGAGCCATCAGCTCCAAGTCAAGTAAGTAGTTGTTTCAATCTAGTTGTGGAGGGCGCAACTCAGTGGTCCATGTGGGGATCAAACCGGCAACTTTGATATTATGAGCACTGTGTTCTAACCAACTGAGCTAACCTGCCGCCCCAAGATTGCACAGCTCTTACTCTTGATGTTTTGAGCATAGATGTTCTCTTTTTACACTGTTTTTATTGTTGAAAGTCTTAAATGTGTCACTAATCCTTCTTGATTGCATATGGTATAAGTGGTGAAGAACTTACCGTTAAATCACACGTTTTCACACATGTATTGAACTTAGTTCTAAGTCACCATCTCATACCTGTTTTATCCTTGTCATTGAAGCTAGATGAGTATTATTCCAGTCTGTTATTAATCAGTTTATTGATTGATCCTGCAATATTGGATGTATGCAGATGGAGAAATTGGTATAAGTCATGGGGTTCTGGTCAATATAGGCCTAATTTATTAATCCATTTATAGGCTCCATTTACTAATCTATTGTGGGATTTAAACTCATAGTTGGAAAAATGCTTGTGCTAGGACACTTGTTATTAAATTAAAGACATGCTCAGCCTCTAGTTTCTTTTTTTAAGTATCCCAGTATGTATATTGTAATTAATATTTGTGTGAATACTTGTATGTGAAGATAGTGACTAGTAAGTTAAGAGACAACTGGGCAGGAGGCTGAGAGAGTAATCATATAAATTGACGTAAATTTAAATTTGGAAGAATTAAGGTATTTAGTTTAATGAGAGACTCAAAATTTCATTACGAAGTAGAGCAGGAGGTGGCAAACTTTTGTCAATGGACAGATAGTAAATATTTTAGGCTTTGCTGGCCACATAGTCAGTCCTGTATTCTTTGTTGTTTTTACAACGCATTAAAAAATGTGAAAACCATTCTTAGCTTGCAGGTGTACAAAAAAAGCTGCAGGCAGTAGTTTCCCAATTTCTGAAGTAGGGCATCATGCTGGCAGTATTTTAGGTTTATACTATGTTTTTATTTTTTTATTTTATTTTTTTTTTTAAAGATTTTTATTGGGGAATTGGGGGGATGGGAACAGTGCTGGGGAATTGGGGAAAGGGGAACAGGCAAGTTGCTGTCGTTTTGTTCTTCAATCTAGTTGTGGAGGACGTTGCTTCACTGGCCCAAGTGGGCACCATCATTGCGCTCTTCTCTGGCGAGGCAGATCAGTCGCCGGCATCTGGACGGCCGCTCACTGCGGCTGCTGGCCGCTCACGCTGGCTGCTGGCCACACACGGTAGCCCATTGCAATCCACTGCCACAGGGACTGCAGCCCACGCCGTCGCCGGCGACTCATGGCAGCCCAGCTCCAGGTTGAGCTGTTGTTCAGCATCTTAGCTGTGGAGGGCAGTGTCACTGGCCCTCACATGTGGGATCCGAACCGGGGCCCTCTGGCATCCCAAGCGAGTTCTTAACCATCGCGCCACTCGGCCGGCCCACTATGTTTTTATTTTAAATTAGCTTACATCATTAAAACGTTAGGGTGTTGATTTTTTTAATGGGATATAATTTATTGGAAAATTCTTACCCTTAAAGCATGAGTTAAAAAAAGTGTTTTCAAAAGGTGATCTTTCTTCCTTCTGCTACCTTCTTCTTTTTGCACTGTCTCCCCCCACCCCTGCCCAAAAGCACCTTGAATTAACTTCCTACATTTTAGAAGTAAGATGCGCTTAATAGAATTTATGAATCAGTATATTTCATTGGACTGCTTTACTTTTTCTCTTCCTTCTTACCTTTTTTCTTCTGTTTGCATACTCACTAAATCCCAAGCATAGTACTAGGTGTAAATTCTTATACTCCAGGAGATTACATTATAGTGATAAATGACTATGTAAGTATGTACAAAGTGATAAGGGAATCTCTTAAGTTTAAACATTGTGTACATATTCCTTCTGTTTATCTTAACCTCTCAAGATTATAAACTCCATGAGGACAGCAACTATAATCTGCTTATCTCCTGCAGTGTCCAGTCTTGAGGTCTTACACAATAGAAAGTGCTTTGTACATACTTGTTAAATTGCTTTGTGTGTCCCAAAGGAATTACTGAAAGGAAAAGTATGGGGTGGCAATCAATATTAATTACATTAAACTGACTTATTTCTTTCAGTAGCCCTTAGGTGGTATCATCCTTGTTTTATAGATGAAGATAGGCTCAGAGAGTGTATGTAACTTAGTTAATAGTGGAGTCTGACTTGGAATCCAGGATTATCCACCTCCTAAGGTTTAGTTATTTTCTCCATACAGAACCTTCTCAGATATATGCAACAAAGTCTCAATAACAAAAG